TGTGTGTGTGCATGAGAGAGAGAGAGAGAGAGAGAGAGAGAGAGAGAGAGAGAGAGAGAGAGAGAGAGAGAGAGAGAGAGAGAGAGAGAGAGAGACCCCACAGACCTCATGAGGCTGGGGTTGCAAAGGAGCCGAGGTAGGAGAGTTTCCTTCAACTAGGGAAGAATGTAGGTCCCTGAGGCATGGCATTGGCACCCCTGATCTTTGTGGTACAGCTGAAGGTTCTGCTGACAAACATTCGGGTGCACCCGGACATAGTAGGCCCTGCAGTTGGGGGATCGGAATGTAGAGCAGAAGCACTCACGGACAATGTATTTGCACTATGCCCAAACACATCAGATTCAATGAATGGGCTAGAGTTGTCCTTGAAGAATATGCAAGGTTCTCATAAGCTTCAGTCAATTGGCAGAGGCCAGCTTTCTTCCTACCTCACGGCCATACATTGAGTGCGGACAAGGTGATGTGAAGGATTTACAGAACTGATGCAGTTCTTGGGGGTTCTGGTCTCCCTGCAACCAGGCATGGAAGCACAGGAGTCGGTCTTGTTGTCCAGAATGACGAAATGGTTGAAGGCACGGGGCAATGGGCCACAACTATCCCTGTTTCGTAGAGTCTTAGCGGGTAATGCTTCCCTGCTGGCGCTGCTGCAGTTCGTACGAACAAACCAGTTATTTAGCAATAGTCTATGTGCGTTTGTTCGTTGGCAAACAGCTAGACTCATCTGGAAGTTCCGAGCTGAGGAGAATAAAGGCTTTATATCTGTAGTCGCTTGGGATCAGATCGCCCTGCCCAGGGGGCGAACGGGGACTGAGCGCCTTTGTTTGCTGGCTGGGCAATGAAGGCGGTGTAGAGCGAAGAAGGAGAACATTGGGTGCTGATGGCAAAGGTCATGTTGGCTGACGAATGGGCCGTGGAACGTCTGAATGACGCATGGCGGATCCAATCTCAGTATTGGGCAGATGTGGTAACAGCATAGAAGAAAGTAAAACCGAAGGAATGGACCCAGACGGCATTGAAAAGTGAGGTTTTTATGCAACCCCTTTTCACGAACGCATACATCAGGGATGGAGAGGGAAAGACCTGCAGGGCTAACAATTCAAGTGGTTTGTTTGGGGACAGTTGGATAAAGAAAGGCATACTGTGCATCCAGGACCTCTGGAACCCCCTGCTGGCCCAGTGTTGTGCGCCGGCCAAGCTTGGGAATCTGTGCTATGTTGGAGAACAGAGAGTGGAGCTGATTACAGCTCTGCCTTTGGAGTGGCACCGGCTGCTAAGCACTGAGGGTGTGGACTCTCCAGGAACATGGTACATTCGTCACTCACTAGAGCCATATGTAGCTTGTTGGAAATTTTTGGGACCGGACCAGGAAGTCACAGTGTTGCATGCCAAATCGGCAACGATCAGAACGGAGACAATACAAAAATAGCACAGCTGAAGACTGTAATACCAAGATATGACTCAGCATGGACAATGACAGGACCTGACAGCATACATCATCACTCAAGCGCGGAGGACTCAGCACGCAATCATAGAAAGATGCGGTGAGGACGGTCCTACATGGACGAAAGGGGGAGAAGAGATGAAGGGGGAAGAGGGAGATAGGGAGGATCAGCCACCATAGCCTGATGAACCCAGTCTCCAATGTATCCCCAATGTCGCTGCTCATGCAATGTCAAGTCACAATGTCACTGAACTGGGCAATGCCCGAATGTCACCGAGTCTCAATGTCTCCTCTCTCTCTCTCTCTCTCTCTCTCTCTCTCTCTCTCTCTCTCTCTCTCTCTCTCTCTCTCTCTCTCTCTCTCTCTCTCTCT